GCTGGTTTTAGGGGAGGTAAACGTTCCCATGTCCGGTTCAGTGGCTCTGAAGATCTGCTGTGTGCGTCTTCGTGCTGATTGGTCGACCTCAGAGAGGACAACACATCCATGTTCTTCTCTTCCAGCAGCTTCTTCTGCTCTATATCATCATCATCAACAACATAAAGTTCTCCATGTGTTCCAACAGAACAAACCTGCTGTGTTCTGTTTCCTACGTAGAACTAGAGTTTCGTCTCGTGTTTGTTCTGGTCTCTGAGTTCATGTTTGGGTCAACAGTTGAAACAGAAAGGCTAGCAGGTGGATGTTCCGACACCTGGAGTTCCTGCAGTGGAAGTGGTGTAGTTTGTGGATCAGAACTACAGTCCAGGAACACCACATTGATCAAGAAGAAGGAGGTCCAGCTCAGAGAGCCACTGAGGGACTGAATCCAAACAGAGAAGCCAGGAAGCAGCCGTCCAGGGCGGAGCAGGACCATCCCAGTGGGCCAAGGCTGGCAAAAGGATGAGGGCTGCTCAGATACCTGTCAGAGAGATGATGTTCAGAACCGGACTGACTGCTGAACAGGGCCGGAATGATGAGATGGGTGGTTTTAATGAGGGCCTCTTCCAACCCGGAGGAGGTGAGCCGGGTCGTGAGTCTGTGAACCTTTTAGAAACCTGTAACCTGCCCTGGTGCTGCTGAACACCTTCTAAATAAATGGTGGTTTAAAACATCAAACTGCTTCTGGTCTCTGAGTAANTGAGGAGCTGTAGAAGGTGCTAGCTCCGTAGAGGCGACGTTCATCAGCATTCTGCTCTCACAAAACAGCATCAGTTCCACTGCTGAAGGAAGAGAACTGAACCTGTATCAGAGCACCGCCGTACACTCACCGACCGCAGAACGCTTCCGAACAGCACAGTTCTGTTCTGAGATTTGCAGACTGATCCAGAAAAGGCCTTCAGCTTTGGGCCAGAACACACACCAATGTTTCAGGCATCGCTGGCCTAGATCGGCGCCTGAGGAGTGAGGCTGCAGAGAAACGTGTGAAATCATGTCACGGTGTCCAGATGATACACCGGACCCACTACAGCGCTACCAGACGGGCCATGACAAGGTGGTACCGACTGACTGGTGCCACTACCAATAGGACATTCTTCTTCAGCTGGAATCAAGAACATGAGATCCAACGAACACAGAAGCTGTGATGGAAGACCTGGACAGCAGCTACAGTTCTGATGTTCTCACCTTCAGCATCAGTTCTGTCCCAGATCCACAGATTCTGTCAAATCAGCAAAACACAACATACATGTGAACTGAACACTGACCCAGAGGGACACATCCCAGCGTGCTGCTCGGCCAATCACAGCACCCCAGGAAGGAGTCCGTCAGAGAGCAGCATGCAAGGACAGCACACGGCCCACAAGAGCCCACAACGGAACCTCAGGG